GATGTTCACCTGAGGCTCTCCTTTAGTGCTGCCTTCTTCTGAGTCCGATGGCTCCTCTGGCTCGTTCTCGTCGCTCTGTAACATAGAAATGCGTTTCAAATTCCACTATATTCCAACTATAAAAGAAAACAGGGTCCAAAATGAAGTCGCCAATCACTAAATGCACATAAATGCTTTGGCATGAACATAAAATTGAGTTAATGCGTCCAAAAGTTTCTTACATCCTGGTTCCAGAAGGACACTCCAGTCGAGCGTCTTTTCTCTCGAGGTCGTCTGCGGTCACGTATAGAGCGTGGCTGAGACTTGTCTTCAGTGTCCTTGTCATCATCTTTATCTTTTCTATCAGAGTCTGGTCAGAAAACAGACATATGGTTCTTTATGAGTACAACTGAACACTATGAACATCCACTAACCACTAGTGGAAATCCCTGTTTTATTTACAGGAAGGCTATGGCTGCAGGCAAGAAATTCAGGCTGAGCTAATGGAATAAAAATAATTATTAGAAAATGAATTAACACTAAACAATAAAATAAATCTAATACCAGTATTCTGCAATAAAGTCTGTTTCATTATGAAGGTAAGAGGGTTTAAATGTAAATAATATAACGCATTTCAAATTCACTACCGTTCAAAAGTGCCGGCGTTTCAAATCAAATACACTACCGTTCAAATGTTTGGGGTCAGTAAGATTATTATTTTTATTTTTTTTCTTCAAGGAAATTAATACTATTAATTCAGCAAAGATGCAATGAATTGATAAAAAATTACAGTAAATAAAGATAGATTTCTATTTCAAATAAATAATAAATAAATTTGAAATTTCGATTCATCAAAGAATCCTAAAAAAATGTTTTTTGAAAAATACGGTTTCCATAGAAATATGAACTTGCAGAACTGTTTTCAACTGTGATAAGAAATGTTTCTTGACCAAATCAGCATGTTAGAATGATGGTTAAAAATCAAATTCATTCAAAGATTTTAGACCTTTTTTAAGACCTGCACAAATAAAATTAATGTCCCTACAGACTAAATCCATAAAATCTCAAAATAAATAATGTATCTCAGATTCTTTTACTTAATTAAACAGACTTGAGCACACATAAAAAATAAATAAATAAAAAACAAATAAAAATAATAATGCCCCTTATCAGCAAAAAGTCAAAGGTGCTAAAATACACACTCTTACAAGCATCTACAACATATTACAATAAAATGCATTAAGTAAACATTGTCATAATTCATCAATTGTAGATCACAAGCAATCGATTGGCAAAAATGTGCAGTATTCATTTAATTCCAACTGCTTTGAAACATGAAATCCTTGCCTTTTGAAGTTTAATAATCACATTAGGCTGTATTGGTGCAGCATTGGTGAGGAAAAAAAATAAATAAATAAAACTTTTTCAGCTGCAAAATTTTGAACGGTAGTGTACATGAGCCTTTAAGAAAACAAAACGTGTTTCTTATTGTCATGGGTTTCCGCAAATTAACAATGGAAAAACAATCCTCTTCCACGTGAATGAAGACTGAAGCTTAGTCAGTCTGCAACCATACTACAGGAACTTCCTGTCTGTATGGCAGTTCCTGTAGCACCACAAAGCCCTATCACTCATTTTCCTTCCTGTGCCATGTCCCTCGACTCAAAGTGACCCTACAGATATTGCATTTTGCACCGGAGGGAACAGTACATATAATTACTGCTGTACATTGTCTTAAAACTAAAGTTTTGTAAAGTTTCATGTCACAAGAAATACTTCCATCAACAGGCAAGTTCATTGTTTTTATGTATATAATCTATTCTTTTGTTTGGATGAAAGAGGACTTGGACATTATGTCTTGAGTACGTTTGTGTGCTGTACCTCTCTCAGTGTCGCGTGTGGTGCGGCTGTAGGT